TAATGAATGATTGTTTGTTTTTTGTTTTTTGAATTTTGTTCAACATTAGGCACAATGGTGGATAAAAGAAAATATGTGGCCTGGCTAACTAATGAATGAATATTTGCTGTAAAATTATTATCAATGCTATAAGTGTAGCTACCAGTTTGATCGCCAAGTTTGATTTCATTCCCTTAAGTCGCACACTGAATGCCGCACCTTTTCTTCACACCTAAGGTGTTTTTTTATTAGATATCATGACTTTTTGTCAATACACACCATCAAACCACAGCAAGTAAGAAAGTGACATCCGATAGTAACCCACATTAGTTTAGAATTGCAACCTTATTATCCGGAACAGATCTGTACTTTACAGAACCAACCAGATTCTTTAAAATATAAGATGGTAGTTCCCCCTCTAAAACAGTGTTGATAACTTCCTTTAAAGTAAGGCTATGGAATCTAGATTAACAGTTTTTTGTCAACACCTTCATGCACTCGGTACAGCGGTATCAAGCATCATTATTTATGCTACTTGCTTAAGCTAATATCACGTGATGCCAAATGCTCTTTAATTAGGAGAATTTCATAAAATTTAGTAAATTTATGCTGAAAAGTTGGCAACGAATAATAACCGCCCACTCGTATGATTCTTTTGGAAACTTGAGCTAGAATGTCCTGATCTAATTTGCTTGGCCTAACCAATACTTATATATCTACATGCACGTGCTTTCACTCTATAGTTTTGCTGCTCTAAATCAGCAGTCTTTAATCCGAAAACGGTCCCCTTTTACTCTTAGGTGATGCTGTAGTAAAAATTTCAAACCGATACCTCGCGTGACTTTTTGCATAGGCGCGCGCAAAAATTTTTGTAAAATTTGAGCGGTTTTTGTTGAATAACTTTGCAAATGTGGCTTATATTTAAACAAAATTTGATGATAAGTTATAAAGATCTATCAGTGTACCAAGTTTGAAAAAAAATCCATTAAAGTTAAGTATGTTTTTCCTATCAAATAAAGATTCCGTACTTTCAATGCAAAGAAAAAAAATAGGAAGAACTTCAATCAAAATTGTAGATTTTATATCTCGTGTATTTCTTAATGGATTACCTTGAAATTTGGTATGTGAAGTAAGGGTTTAGTAGAGCACATCCACTGAAAATGTGTGATAGTTTGGGTTACCACAGTCCGAGCTACGGAAGGTGGAAAAATCACTAAACTATCACTCTTGTTAATAACACAGTGTATCCTGCGGGTTGTTTTGGCCGCACGACACATTACAGTGTGTATTGTTAAGTTAAAAAGAAAGAAAGCATGCAGTTCCTATATTCAGGATCTTACCAAGCTGTACAATCAACTAATTTTTGTTTTGAGACGTGTATTATCCAATTGCATGATTTGATACAAACTGAAACTAGGCTATGCTAACATGTTTGCCCTATGCTTCGTTCCAACACGACTTGTATCGTGTGTTGTGATTGGTTCCGAAAAAATTTGCCGAGCACTGCTTTAGCCGGGAGGTTCTACCTTCAGCCAAGATGATAAACCTTTGAGGTTCAGTGATAATGTTAATACAAAACAACAAAGAAAAAACATAATTTTAACTTATTTCATTACTAAGGTGACGGAAAATAATTTCTAAACTACGCATTATTTAACTTCGAACTACATCCCCGTCAACACGAGAAGAACTCAACATTAATAACACAGGCATTGAAAAAATAAATGCTCACGCCAATTACCTAAAACCTTTAAAATGTCTACAGAATTACTAGTCATGTATACAATACACATGTTATGTTAACATTTCTGAGAAATATACTGCAGACGTTCTCCCCTTGATATTCAACGTGTGCGTTCAAAGCATTCCAATTAAGTCTACTTTCACGTGGCACGTGGATTCATTCATCCACGCTTCACTACGTGGGTAGGTAGACTTTCAAAATATTCTGCGCATATATACTATATATATACTCGTGCTATTGTGGACAGCAAACATTTCGTACAAACGTACAAATTCATCGCACTGCTTGACAATGGATATTTTTAAACATGATCTTAAAATTTGATAAGGATGGTATTTATTATGGACATTGGACATACCTTAAAAATGTGGTATCTTTACGTTTAATCTCAGTTCCACAAAACATATCTTCATACTAGACTCTAGACAACGAGTGTCAACCGCATATCGTGTGAATACAAATTATTGCACGTATACACACAACGTATACATAATTCTAAAATTCCCGAGGCCTAGAATCAGAAAATCTAACGTGAGCACCAAAGAGGTATATTCTATTAACTTTTTACATACCATGAAAAACATGAAAGAAATTTGAGAGAAATGGTGATTTTATGACTCAATAGGGTATTCATTTCAAGCTAAATAAACGAGTTTTTTATTTTTTTCTATTGAATCTATATATTAAATAATTGTTTATGTTTATGACAAAGCTACTCCGGCTATCTGCCACAGTCCCTAATTTGGAGCTGCCAGTGAAAGGGAAGGCACACGGACCGCTGCACCCACTGCCAGCTCTTGGTCTACTCTTTCTCACTGAATATTGGGATCGATCGCAATGTTATAACGCCCCAACAACTAAAAAAGCGATCATTTTTGAAGCCAGGTTTCAGTCCCGCGACCCAAAGATTGCGAGTCGAGCGCTTTAAATATTCAAAACATTGATACGTTTTAACACTAATGTTAAACGTTGAAATAAATTGTTCTTTTATTTTATTTGCTTGTCTGTTTGTTATAGTGCAAAACTACACGATGTGCTATCTGTGATTTGATCACCGCGGAGATATCGAACCCCATATTTCTGCGTTGTAATTCTGTAAATTTACTGTTGACCTACTGGATGACTTCTTATTTTGTAGAACGATTAGCAAGCCTGAATCGAGCAGTCTATGGATTGTATAAAGTTATTATCGAGCGTGTAACCTCATTTATCTTCGTTGATGAATTGGAAGAAGTGACAGCAGTGTCCGTTTTTCTTTTAAGTATAACAAAGAGTTAAAATTTCTGAAAATCGATGTAGTGCCTCAATGATCGACTATGTCAAATTGATTTGAATACCAAACTGAATAAATAGGGAATGAAAATGTATTGAAAAAATAAATGAACATTTTAATTTTACAGAAACAAAATGAGTTTGGCATCCTTAACCAGAAAAGCACCTTGTGCGCGATATGTGGGCCAAACGGCTATGTCACAGTTCAAAGATCAAGCAAAACCGTGTACTCGCCACCTACATGGCTACCCATAATCGAATATATAAATGTCGTGTTTATAAGTTGACCGGTAATTTCACTACTCAATGTAAAAAATAAAAACATAAATATTAAAAGTGGCATACATTTAAGAAAATCAACTTTTAAAATTACATTTATTAAAGATTGTTACAAGTGATGTAGGTTATGAGCTATTTATATTAAATTACATTTATTAAAGATTATTACAAGTGATGTAGGTTATGAGCTATTTATATTAAATTACCTTTATTAAAGATTATTACAAGTGATGTAGGTTATGAGCTATTTATATTAAATTACATTTATTAAAGATTGTTACAAGTGATGTAGGTTATGAGCTATTTATATTAAATTACATTTATTAAAGATTGTTACAAGTGATGTAGGTTATGAGCTATTTATATTACATTTATTAAAGATTATTACAAGTGATGTAGGTTATGAGCTATTTATATTACATTTATTAAAGATTATTACAAGTGATGTAGGTTATGAGCTATTTATATTAAATTTATTACTATTACCATAAAAATAAGTATAAAGATATGAACAAATGGCTACATGTTCTTACTAGATATAATCCAGATAACAAGACTGACTTTTTTACAGCAATAGTTCATAACCTGCATCATTTTTAATAATCTTATTAAATGTCACTTTTAATGTTTATATATTTTTTTTTGGCATCGGGAGTGAAATTACCTAGAACCGTTTATAATACCCTCATTGCTGAACGAGTAGAACATTTTCATCAACGAATCTAGTCTCGAACCTTCAAATCTAGAGCTAGTTAGAACAAAAAATATTGGTTCAGGTTGCACTTGTCAAAATTTGGATAATTGGAAAGGAAATTATTGGTTCAGGTTGCACTTGACAAAATTTGGATAATTGGAAAGGAAATTATTGGTTCAGGTTGCACTTGACAAAATTTGGATAATTGGAAAGGAAATTATTAGTTCAGGTTGCACTTGACAAAATTTTGATAATTGAAAAGGAAATTATTAGTTCAGGTTGCACTTGACAAAATTTTGATAATTGGAAAGGAAATTGTTAGTTCGGGTTGCACTTGACAAAATTTTGATAATTGGAAAGGAAATTGTTAGTTTGGGTTGCACTTGACAAAATTTTGATAATTGGAAAGGAAATTGTTAGTTCGGGTTGCACTTGACAAAATTTAGATAATTGAAAAGGAAATTGTTAGTTCAGGTTGCACTTGACAAAGTTTAGATAATTTTTTAAAAAGTACGAGAAAAATAGTAAACACTACAAATCAAAGTTTTTAAACTCACCAAGATCCAGGCAGAGCAAGGACCATAAGGTCACCTCCTTCGTGAGCGTAGCCAACGTGCACCAAGGAGTCCTTTACCACAATAGAAGAACTACAAGACAGAAATAATACATGTATACAGATCACTATAGATTGTACATAGTGCGACTTTTTACTTATGTATGTTTGACGCATGTATTTATGTATCTTTAACGCATGTATGTGTATGTATGCATATTTCATGCATGAATGTATGTATTTGTGTATATTTGACGTGTGTGATTGTATGCATGTATAGCTGACGCATAAATGGATATGCATGTATATATATGTTTGACGTATGAATGTGTGTGTGTGCATTCGTGTCTAATAATGCACGTATTTCACGAGATTTGATAAAATTGACCAAAACCAATTTGAAATTTCTTAGATCTGGGTCAGACCAGTCTCACGGACGTTTTTATCTGAACGCTTGACTTGGGTTAAACTTATTGGAGTAAGCTTTTCCTAAATGGCCTTCAAGTGATTAAATTTTATGTGATCTTTAAAAAAGTAGTTTCATATCGATGGCTAAAGAACACCAACATTATGATGTAATGGTGGGACTATTATGACAAAAAAAAATCTATTGGTTTCTTTTGAATTCCGCACAAAATTACTCGAGGACTATCTGCGCTAGCTGTTACTAATTTAGCAGTGATAGACTAGAGAGAACCGTCAACTCTTTGGCTACTGTTTTACCAATGAATAATGCGATTGACCGTCACATTATAACGCTCCCACGGCTGAAAAGGCGAGCATGTTCAGTGACGAGGATTCGAACCCGCGTGCCTCAGACTGCGAATCGAACGAATCAAAAATTTTGTTCACTTCACTTCTTGTATTGTTTGTTTGTAGTTAAGCACAAAGCTATACAATGGGCTATCTGTGCTCTGCCCACCACGGGTATCGAAACCCGGTTTCTAGCGTTGTAAGTCAGCAGACATACCGCTGTGCCACTGAGAGGCCACTTCTTGTAACTGAGTATTTTTCAAATTATGAAGAAAAACTTCAACGTTTTTGATGAAATACTTTCGTAGATAACCAGTTAGAATATTTAAAACGAGTACGTGTGGAGAGCCGGTTAAGCATGGTGCATGTAAAGTGAATTCATACAAATTCTGGTAAAGATTAAACTCGTAAACAAGTTTATTAAACTCACTTATAATAATAAAATAAAAAAAACAATAAAAAACCCTCGTTAATAACAGCACCATAAATAATTTTCCATTTTTTTTCTTAATCTGATGAAGGCAGCTAAGGGATTCAAAACGGCAACGTAGTTAGGTGTTCGAGACAATACACCACTCATTAATCTTTAAGGGACCGACTAGAAAATGAAACAAGTTAAATATGCTTTTCATGAGCAGTGATTTTATTAAACTTTATATATATAGGTTTATAATTATGTGAAAAAATATACAAGCCTACATCCTTGCACAGACTTCACGTACATAGTTAAAATATCTGCAAATTCATATACTACAATAGCCAAGACTGGGATCACACTAACTGTACTCTAAATAAAGCGGCCTCTTTCAGAATTTTAATTAAACTTTACGTGGCTGACAATCTTTAAACGATACAGAATGCCTATAAGTTATGAACCTATCTGTCTTCCAGGCTTTTTAAAAGACCTTCTTTATATAACAACACATCAGCGAGCGTACGTGTGTATATGTAGTCTGATGGTGAGTTTAATTTGCATATTAATTAGGCATAAAATGAATTTTAAAACTTTTAAATTGAAGTCAACAACCCTATTTTCTTCATGAACGAAGACAGAAAAAAAAAAGATGAAACGTTCAAACTACTTGAGGGATGACAGATTCGTGGTTCGAAAACAGTGGAAATATTACCCAATAAACTAAATGTTTTTTTGTTTTTTTTCAGTTTATACATATGTAAACATATTTAAACTGAATAAGTAAAAACCTTACAACTTCTTTCTACCCACAAATTTTCAAAGAAAACAATTACATGATGAACATAAATAAATAGAAGCGATTTTATTTTCTGGCATCTGTGTTCATAGAATATTTATTTTTCATTTAATGGAATCCTTTTTGTCTGTCAAAAAACAGTAACATTTACATGCATAAAATAATGAAGATTTTGATCATAACAAACATTAACAATTCAACATTATCACAACAATCGTTAATCTGTTCATAACAAACAATAACGATTGTTGTGATAGTGTTGAATTGTTAATCTGTTCGTAACAAATATTAACAATTCAACACTATCACAACAATCGTTAATCTGTTCGTAACAAACAATAACAATTCAACACTATCACAACAATCGTTAATCTGTTCGTAACAAATATTAACAATTCAACACTATCACAACAATCGTTAATCTGTTCGTAACAAACATT